CACTAAATATGTATTTTACTTCACTGTATGCATTATACACAGTTTTGTCTTTAAAAATAAATGTATATTAGTGATTATAAACATTCTGTTTTCATAAAAATAGTTTTACCTTATGATTGACAGCACAGCAAGCATTATAATCTCTCATCCAGTTAAAATGCAGAACAACTTCATCAGAACTGAACCCCAAACTTGGGAAATTTTTTGTAGATTAAAAATATTTTAAAATTAAAACTTAATTGTTTAAGATATTAATCAAATTGTAAAAATCAACAAACTTTCTTCACTAGATTACATACACGCTTGCAGTTATTATTATTATTATTTGGCAACAATCCTGGAGATACCTACCAATGTGTTACCATGTAAGCTTAATATTGTGTTTAATGTAAAGAGGCAGAATAAAAACAAATATAAACACAGAGACAAATAAAATATAGATGATTAATAGATATTAAATAAATAAACTCGCAAACATGCATAATACCATGGTAATAAAAACAATAGTGTGCTTTTACTCCACTTCAACTTCCTAACACAGGCTTTATCATCAGTGGAATAAGTACTTGATAGAGTAAAATACTTAACAGAATCATGTAAATTTAATTAATTTCAAGTGTTTTACATGGAGAATTAAAATACAACCTGTGGCAAGTGGTTAAAAATAGTGTGATTCTGCAGGAAATGTGTGGACTTGGCAACCCTGGTTGACTTCCATATTATTTTTTTGTTCCTACTATGGAAGTCAGTGTCTGTTTTTTCCAACATTCCTAAAAATATCTTCTTGATGATCAATAAATTGATCTTTTAAAACCACTCGAAAGAGTAAATGGTGAAGAAATATACTTTTTTTTAGGGTGTACTGTCCCTTTAAATCAAAATCAATGGAAATCTGTACAACTTTTAATCACAAGGAGAGTGAACAAGCGAATGAGCGAAGCAGACTTGATGCAAGCTTTGGCCAAATCTTCACAGGCTAAATCTTCTGATTCATGTACTTTAATAATATCATGTTATCGACACTCTTGAACTGAATCAGGATCAGAATAAAGGGTTGTTCACGCAAAGGAATCAAAATTACCCTAAAATTTACTCACCCTCAAGTTATCCTCCGTGTATATGACTAACAGTCGGAGACGTTTTATCCCAGCTCTTCAATGCTGTATAATGGTGTTGGGTAGTGACTTTTATTTTGAAGCATTTACCTGTCAACACTGGAAGTCAGTGATTTGAGTTTATAATATAAAAATGGTAATATTTCAGTTACAAAAACACTTTGATTTACTTTATGAGGCACGATTAATCCCCTGGTGGCGTACGGGGTAGTCTGATGATGGATTTATGTGCTTTTGGAAGTTTCAAAATAAAAGTCACTAAATGCAGTGCTCAGCATAAATGAGCTCTCTGAAATCTCTCTTTTAAATTAATATTTTCTATAGGATGATTTACAGTAATATACACTCACCTGCCACTTTATTAGGTACACCTTACCACCTCCGGTATTTTGCCTTCTGAACTGCCTTAATCCTTTGTGTCATATTCAACAAGCTACTGGAAATATTCCTCAGAGATTTTGCTCCATATTGTCATGATAGCATCACACAGTTGCTGCAGATTTGTCGGCTGCACATCCATGATGCCAATCTCCCGTTCCACCACATCCCAAAGCTGCTCTATTGGATTGAGCTCTGGTGACTGTGGAGGCCATTTGAGTACAGTGAACTCATCATCATGTTCAGGAAACCAGTCTGAGATGATTGAGCTTTATGACATGCTGCGTTATCCTGCTGGAAGTAGCCATCAGAAGATGGAGACATTGTGCTCATAAAGGGATGGACATGGTCAGCAGCAATACTCAGGTAGGCTGTGGCGTTGATGCTCAATTGGTACTAATGGACCCAAAGAAAATCTCCCCCACACCATTACACCACCACCACCAGCCTGAACCACTGATACAAGGCAGGATGATCCATGCTTTCATGATGTTGATGCCAAATTCTGACCTGACCATCTGAATGTGTCAGCAGAAATGGAGACTCATCAGAGCAGCAACGTTTCTCCAATCTTCTATTGTCCAGTTTTGGTGAGTCTGTGTGAATTGTAGCCTCAGTTTCCTGTTCTTAGCTGACAGGAGCGGCACCCGGTGTGCTCTTCTGCTGCTGTAGCCCATCCGCCTCAAGGTTGGACGTGTTGTGTGTTCAGAGATGCTCTTCTGCAGAGCTCGGTTGTAGCGAGTGCTTATTTGAGTTACTGTTGCCTTTCTATCAGCTGGAACCAGTCTGGCCATTCTCTTCTGACCTCTGGCCTCATCAACAAGGCATTTGCTTCCACAGAACTGCCGCTCACTGGATATTTCCTCTTTGTCGGAGCATTCTCTGTAAAGCCTAGAGATGGTTGTGCGTGAAAATCCCAGTAGATCAGCAGTTTCTGAAATACTCAAATTCCCTTTCTTCCCCATTCTGATGCTCAGTTTGAACTGCAGCAGATCCTCTTGACCATGTCTACATGCCTAAATGCATTGAGCTGCTGCAGAAATTTGTGTTAATGGACAGGTGTACCTAATAAAGTGGCCAATAAGTGTATTTCTGCCTGTACATTAGATTAGTCTGTTCTGAAGCCAAATTTGGAGCTAATCTACAAAATAAGTAAAAAAAATGAGTCCACCTTTATTTTAATATTAGGGAAAATTATTAAATAAAACTTTAATAAAGAGGCGTCACGGTGGCACAGTGGGTAGAAGGATCGCCTCACAGCAAGAAGGTCACTGGTTCGAGTCCCAGCTGGGTCAGTTGGTGTTTCTGTGTGGAGTTTGCATGTTCTCCCAGTGTTGGCGTGGGTTTCCTCGGGGTGCTCCGGTTTACCATACAGCCGACACACATGCTCTATAGTGGAATTGAATAAGCTAATTAGTAGTTTGTAATTTAGTTTGTATCTTTCTTTTTTTGTGCAATATTTTGCATAAATTTAAATGTATAATTTATTTATTTGTAAAGATGTTCAGTGATTAACACATATTTAATAAATGTATTGGTTTTATTTAAATGCACCAGAACCAATTGCCTATATTCACTGAAAAAGGGATACAAATATATGGGGTGTATTCATTTATGCTGAGCACTAAATACACTTTTAAAAGTTTCAAAATAAAAGTCACTATTTATGCACTTTTAGAAGCTTCAAAATAAAAGTCACCATCCAACACCATTAGGCTGTGAGATATGGCAAAAATGTCACATCATGATACAAGTCATCTCATATCCTACTAACAATATAGTACCATTTCTGTAAATTCAATCAATTTATAGTTTATATGTATTGATCACATGTAAAAGAATATATTTTTACATTTTAAAATGTGTGTGTGTGTGTGTGATACATATCCTCATATTGCACAGCCTGAAACACCATAATCCAGCATGTAAAGCAGAGATAAAATCAAAAACTACTAAAACCCTGTTGTTACGACAGAAAGAAAGTTATCTACACCTAGGATGGCTTGAGGATGAGCAAATGATGGGGTGATTTAGATGAGTGGCTGAACTGTTCCTTTAAGGAGCGCAGGATGAGTTTTGCACACTTGAATCTGTGTACAGTTAATGTGTATGTATATTATGCCACTTGTACAGCCAATGAAATGAAAGCTTGATGGACTCAACCTGAGCAATACGCAGCTGATCTGAAAGCATCGCCTGAATCTCAGAGGACGTCTCGGCCTCCCACAATGCTGCTCTTCTCTCGCTGTATGAGCCGCTGCTGGCGCTTAGCAAGACGTTTGTGTGAATGAAATTAAAGCACAACACACTGCCAAACTCGACACCACCGACTACTGGACTGATTATTATTACTTTCATTTATATTAAAGGTGATGTGTGTGTGTGTGTGTGTGTGTGTGTGTGTGACTTCCATAATATGTCTGCGTTAATGTCAATTACTATAGTTGTTGTGTTACCATAGCAACAGTGGAATCACCACAAGTGATCAATTACTATAGTTGTTGCATTACCATAGCAACAGTGGAATCACCACAACAGATCAATTACTATAGTTGTTGCGTTGCCATAGCAACAGTGGAATCACCACAAGTGATCAATTACTATAGTTGTTGCGTTACCATAGAAACAGTGGAATCACCACAAGTAATCAATTCTTATAGTTGTTGCGTTACCATAACAACAGTGAAATCACCACAAGTGATCAATTACTATAGTTGTTGCGTTACCATAGCAACAGTGGAATCACCATAAGTGATTAATTACTATTGTTGCATTGCCATAGCAACAGTGGAATCACCACAACAGATCATTTACAATTGTTTTGCGTTACAATAGCAACAGTGGAATCACCACAACAGATTAATTACTATAGTTGTCGTGTTACTATAGCAACAGTGGAATCACCACAAGGGATCAATTACTATGGTTGTTGCGTTACCATAGCAACAGTGATATTACCACAAGTGTTTAATTGCTATTGTTGTTGCGTTACCATAGCAACAGTGGAATCACCACAAGAGATCAATTACTATAGTAGTTGTGTTACTATAGCAACACTAGAATCGCCATGACAGATCAATCAATATAGTTGTTGTGTTACCATAGCAACTGTAGAATAATCTCAACAGATCAATGACTATAGTTTGTCTGTGCAGTGAGATTAATGGGGATTTTTAAGTCCTGTAATTAAATTTTATAACTGGACTTCGATATAAATCTTAGTGCATAGACAACAGAAATTAAATGGTTCATTTAAATCCGAGTCAAACAAGGCTAAATTATTAGTAATTTAGTAAATAACACAGAAAATATGGGTTTTATATCTGTAAACAAACACAAATGTTCTGCAAATGAATAAAACAGTCCAGCTCTACATTTCTCCATCCTCTTAATGATAAAGATAATTTAGTATCTTCAAAAACTAAACAAACATTTTTTTGACCACCCTATGAATCTAGTAATAAATCAAATGGTGGCTAGCGAACACAAAGAGGCAGACGCAGAGGCTCAGATAAAGATAGATCTTTAGTTTATTAGTGGCTATAGATAATGCTATCAGACCATAATCATAAAAAATGATCAAACAAGAAACGCTACATCTCTGGTCAGCAGTGGGTTAAACGGTAGCATGGATTAGCATGAAACAGAAATGAGAAGAAAACCACGTCTCCATGCGACAGAACGACAATTCGTTCGCAGAAATTAATTTCCGTAGGATTCATACATTCTAATCCTGAGTTCATCGTGGAAAACCGTCTCGGTGTGTGTGTGTGTGCTATCGAGAAAAAGCGGACGATATTATCACGATACGACGAACACACGCCAGCTTGATTCAAGCACAACGGTCCACGGTGAAGCGCTGGGAACGGTTCGCAATCCACGCGCGTTACAAATGAGTTTCTTGCCATTCGGTTATTTTTATTTTTTAACAAAAATATAGACCCGCCTCGCGATTCGCTTTGATAGTCTTATAAAAAACATCACATCGGGAGTATATTTACAAGCTGTTTAACGTGACATTCTGAAGGTTTACAAAGTCTCCGCTCCTTCGAGACGGACGCTACGCTGTCGCCAGGGATTGTGGGTAGTGCAGGAAGGAAACAAGGGAGGAAGTCAAGAGGAAGCTGTGGAAGTGTGCTTTCGAAATTAAACGTATCTCATGATTCTGAACTTGTCTCAATTTTTTACGTAAAAAAAAGTATCGCAGGACTACAAGTTATATTTAATTTGCATAAATGTAAATTTCGATTCTAAAGAAATATTCATTAGATTTAGAACCGTTAAAATACTTTAAATCAACTAAATTTGAATTAATATTTATTAAAATAATCGCAGGATGTAAACAGATCTGCAAGTTATATTTAATTTGCAAATATGTAAATTTCGATTCTTAAGAAATAAATATTCATTAGAACTGATTTCAGAATTACAATATTTTAACAATAAAAACCAAATTTTGAACTAAGATTAATTAAAAGAATCGCAGGATGTAAACACAAATCTGCAAGTTATATTTAATTTGCATATATGTAAATTTCGATTCTAAAAATATGAATTAGATTTATATTCAGATTTGCAGGAATTGTTCAAATATATTTAGCAACAATTTTTTAATTAGATGGTTAAAATATTTTAACAGTAAACTAATTTTGAATTAAGATTCATTAAAAGAATCGCAGGATGTAAACAGATCTGCCAGTTATATTTAATTTGTATATATGTAAATTCTGATTCTAAAAACAATATGAACTAAATTTGAACAATTCCTGCAATTCAGAATTTAAAGTTATTTTACAACAAGTTCTGAATTCAGATCAATTAAAAGAATATCAGGATGTAAAACACAGAACCTCAACTGATATTTAATATGCATATATGCAAATTTCAATATCAGTTAACGAACATATTAATTAGATTTAAATTCAGAATTACAAGAATTGTTCAAATCCTCAAACAATAAACTAATCTTGAATTAACATTTATTAAAAGATGAATGTTAATTTAACGCAGGATGTAAACAAGGATGTAAACAAAATTGCAAGTTAGATTTAATTTGCATATATGTAAATTCAGATTCTAAAATCTTTATATTCATTAGATTTAAATTGAGAATTACAGGAATTGTTCAAATATATTTTACAACAAATTTTGAATTAAGATTCATCAAAAGAATATATATATATATACTTGTATTGAATTTATAATGGACCGAAAAAATATTGAATTATGACAACAAAAATGTATATTAATTGCAAATATTGTGACTAATAATATTTAACCGACTCATTTTAAATGATATCAAGTTTATAATGCGTCGCTGAGAGTAGTACAAATAAGAATTGTTGCAAATGATCTTATCTGAAAATGTTTAATTATATCCCATAATTAAATTGCAATCTGAATTGCAGATGTAAACTCAAAACTACCATGTTGTCTTACTTATAATTCAGAAAGAGAGAAATGCAAGCTGTTTCAGACTGACGACTGAGTCAAATATTCAGAACTGTGAGATGAGTTCAGTTTCAATTCCTTAACTGTGAAGCGGAAACAAACTTCCACAGGAAACAGAGGGACGTAAACAAGAGAAGAGACAGGAAAACCAAGACAAACAACAGGCAAAAGTGTGTGTGTGTGTGTGTGTGTGTGTGTGTGTGGACGCTAGTGTTTTGGAGAGGTTAGCACTAGTGAACGCTGGCCAGATCAGTGTGTGTGTGTGTGTGTGTTTCTAAGGCCTTCAGGAGCAGGACGTTGTGCTGTGAGTTTCCTCTTGGTTTGTGTGGAGTTTGCTGGATGCTCTTCTTACACTGATGACTGATCCCACACCTGCTGGACACACACAGTATTGGGTATTATTTAAAACCAGCCCTTTCAGTTTCATTGTCCAACCCCTGAATATATATTAGTGCTGTCAAATGATGAGATACACACACTCTCTCTCACACACACACACACACACACACACACACACACACACACACACACACACACACACACACACACACAACAGTGAACAAATACACACACACACACACACACACACACACACACACACACACTCACACAAACACACACACACACACACACACGCACGCACGCACGCACACACACACACACACACACACACACACACACACACACACACACACACACAACACACACACACACACACACACGCTCTCTCTCTCACACACACACACTCTCTGTCTGTCTTTCTTCATTTCT